AGAAAAATGGTGGAAATCTATTGTTGGTGACCTGATTATGTCGCTTGCTTTACGGTCACCCAAATTGTCGCTGCACTGCATCACGGAGGAGCTCCGGAGGGCCAAGAAGTTCAAGTAGCTGTCGCAGCTCGACGTTAAACTCTTGACCTGAGATTCTCACTTGGCCTGGCAGTGCCGTGAAAAAAGAGATAAAATTGAATAATGCATTTCGCGTCCAAAGTTCGCAGTAGCTCCTTCAAGAAGCACTATTTTTTTTTCTCACTTTTTCCTCTTTTACTCTTTTTACAAATGTATAAAGAAAGTTTTTAAGCTTATGCTTAAATTTGGGGTATCATTTAAATCATCTATTAATCTATATTACAAAAATGTGACAAAGAACTGCACATCGTGGCACATTTTAGTATAATAATAACTACTACTAAATGAAATAAAGTGAAGACACAGTTTTTTTCAATCTTCAGCAATTTGTGATTTATCCTGTATTTTTTACGCAGAATACGAACTATTAAAACACGCCATAATTGTAGCCATGGCAATGTTTTCACATTCTTTTGCCTCTCCACTTTTAAATGACTTGCGTAGTCATTGCTAAATAAATTGGGTTCAAGGAAAAGGTGGTGAAAGTGGGGAAAGCAATGGGGATGGGGGGTTTCTGGGCGGTGAACGACAGCAACTTGACCCGCAACAAAAGGTGGACAGCTGAGTTGTGTGTATGCGGCTGACATCAATGCATTCCATCAGTGGCGTAGGGGGGGGGGGGTCGTACAAATAATAGTGAGTGTGGTAATAAGTATGCTACTCAAATTGAATTCTAAAGCTCCACTCCCACAACCGAATCCTGAATTCGCCACTACATTCCCCTATGTGTTTCACACAAGCCAAGTTTATTTCGCATTGAGACCTGTGGCAAAGAAAAGGTGCCCCTGAAAATCTTTAAAGGCGAAAAGGAGATGAAAAATCACCTTTCACTTTGTGCCATGTTCCCATAAGATGCCGACTCGGCCGCCCACCTTTCCATCCCGCCCCGACTCATTAATTCAGCTGAAAAGTATATTTCATTTCCCTCCACGCAAACAATAACCACACGCAAAAAGTGGCATTAAATATCGTTTTAATTTGCTCAGTTTTAATGGGTTTTTTTTTTTGTGCATTTCACTTAATGGACGACAGCTTTGATTATGATCTTGACAAATATAAGCTTTCGCCTGAAAGCAATAACAATGGGTTTTTAAATGTTACAAAATATATATGATGATTTTATTCCACCCACAGATTGCACTGATTTCGAGCAGTGTACAGGTCGCGGAAAAGTAAGGATGGTGGTATTACAATGATCAATTATATGAAGAGCCGCAAAACTCATTCAAGTGGAGGAGGAAATTTTTATTAGAAACACATTTCCATTTTACGCTTCACTTTTGCCCCTTCACGGCGGTATGCAAATTGAAATCGGAAACACAGGTTGCAGATGAAAGCAATGTTTTAATGTTTTTTTTTTTTTTTTGTCGGGACCAGTGATGAAGTACACCACTGGGCCATCAATGCCAGCAGAGTGTTTTTTTTTCCTTAGTTGCAAATATTTAAATAATTGAAAATCAATAGCCATGTCAATGGATTGTAAGTGTGGGTGTCATAACTCGCCATTATTTCGTTTCGAAACAATTTGCTGTGGGCAATAAAGTCTCGATTTGCACTTTGCACAGAATGCGACTGCGGAAGCTTGTTTGAATGAGCAGATGGGCAAACAGTAGATGGTCGTTGGCAAACAGAGGACAATTGCGGACCCATGAATGCTGGATTCATTATGATTGAGTAGGATTAAGTTGAGTGCCCACATTCGTATTCATTGGATGCCCCGCAGTTTCCAGTTTGCGCCCAGTTAACTCTCATTAAAAGCGAAAAAACAACATGGAGAGCATACACATAAGTTCGTGCGATTGCGACCCCAGTCAAATAAGAGCGTTTCTTTGCCGTTTCTGTGCAAACTTTGGAGCCAAACATGAGCGCTGGAGGTCAGGAGGTCAGGGGGTCGTGGGCTTGCCACCCCCTCGTTACCGCCCACGAAAATGCGAATGCTGCGACTCAAGAGCGGCGAGGTTAGTTTTATTTCAATTCGCTTCTCCACTTATGCCATTTGCCCCCATAATGCCCACCGAGTTCCTCGAGTGTGTGTGCATAATTTTGCTCATTACTGATGCCCTTGAAAAAGTGGCAAAACTTGCTTTGCGGCCAAGTTGGCATCTGTGGCGGATTTAAGAACCTCCTCCTCCTCCTCCCATTTCCTTCTTCTCCCCGCCAGCCAAATTAATGATTACGTCGACGTGGCGCTGATTTGTGTTGCCAAGAAAACGAACAAATAAAAACAGAAGCTGGACGAATGGCAAAAACAAAGCAGGGCATTTGAGAAAAAATTCAATTAATCATTAATTTGCTCAGCTGTCAGCGAGTTGGCCAAGCCCAATGGGTGGTCCGTCCGCAGGTCAGGGTTCAAGGCCGCGGCCTTGGGGGCAACAAGTGCAGCCAGGTCGACAGGCCCACAGACGGAATACGGTCTTCTTCTTCTGTGCCTTCCATAACAAAGGGCGAAATGGAAAGGCTTGCGGCCATAAACAAGAGTCTATTCCGCCAATTTGACCTTTTGCTCTGTCCTTTCAAATGGACCTGGCCATCCAGAAACCAATTCTTTTTTGGGAGACAAAACTCTTTGAAAGGCTTTCAGTTTTACCCCAAAGCTGAACAATACCTTTGTTGAATTATTTATAATACGTGATGATGACTTAATTAATTACGCTTTGAATGCTTTGTAATCATTGTTGGGAACAACTTTTTGCAACAGATTATTAAATTGAAAATATAATTTCCGTCTTGAGATACTTTTTTCTGCACACGTTTTTAAATAGGTAGTTGTTCCCATATGGATTTGCAAAAGCTGTCCTTCTATAGGGATTTGCCATTACCTGCTGTACTTCCCCAAGCAGTTGCGGAAATCGAATGATAGTGGGTGGAGTTGAGCAAAGCCAGCAGTCCAAGGAAATGCCACTGGCCACAAATGCATAATTACGGCAATAAATCATAGGGTGTGGCTGTGATCACGCCCATGCGAAAGCCAGGACGCCAGGACGTTGCAGGACTTTGCACTGCACCTTGACGTCCTGAATCCCATAAATTGGTGTCACAGCTCGGCCAGCTCAACCATCGGCCATCGCCCATCGCCCAGTGATGACATTTCCAGATTTACGAGCCAGTCGACGCCCCATGCAACAGATGGTGGTGGCGAAAAGCTGCGTGGGAGTTAGTGGGTTGGTGGGGGGAGAGGTCCTTGGCAAAGGACCAACCCAACCCCACCCTCTCCCCTCACCAAGACAACGCTGAGTGCTTGCTCAACAAATTGGCATGTGTGCGTGTATTTTCGAGTTGAGCGCTCAACTTGTTTGCCTCCCATTGTTATTATGTTGTTAATAAGTTACTGCGGGGGCGGCTAAGATGGATGCCAAGAGGCTTCGCAGCGGCGGTTCCGGCAGCCCCAAAAACAAACTTGCAGCAAGACAAACAACATTACCAGCACGTCTAAAACGGCGCAGGAAACAGGAAACAAGCTATGAAAGTGCAGGGGGTGGGGGAGAGGGGGGGTTGAGGTGGGGGGACGAACACTAAAGGAGAAACGCAACGTGACGCTGCTTAGTGGTATGATTTTCGCAATTTTGCCTCGGTGAAAGCAATTCCAGACTGCTTAGACGGCGACTTGGGTGCTCTGGCTTAGGATCGATTATGGTGCTGGCGTTGTGTGCATATGCAAATTGGCCAGAATACCGAGTACTATACATGCGCAGCAGCAGTGCAGCAGCTCCCGGCTGCCGAGTAATTTGCATTGGAAATGGGGATCAGCGTGGATTAAATGGGGGAACTTTCGCACTGCATTCGCCGTGACTCGGCATCTGCCAATTGGATGCTTCCCAGAACAACGAACAGCTCCCAGAACAACGAACAGCTTCCAGAACATCGGCTAATTAGAATATACTTTGTCATGCACTTTGATTAAATAAGCAAATTAATGCCACGCAAGGCCATTCTCCGCCACCAGCTCCGCAATTAACTGCCCAATTCGGGCACTTGGGACAGACAGGTGTCAGAAGCATCTCCCTTGGAGGCCCAAGGCCAACTATATCACAGACGGGTGAGCCCTGTCCATCCAGATAGACAGCCCTATCTGTGCCTGGGACTCAAATTAATGTCTGGCAAGCATGCTCTCCTTTCTGACCGGACTGTTCAAGGATCAAACTCGAACTTGGGGTTGAGTCATTCTGTTAAAATGATTTTAAACAGCTCTCGCACATACGCTCAGTGTGTTCTGTGTGCGTGGGCCTATTTAATCGTTTGAACCCTCGAGGAACCCAGAACCCAGAACCCAGAACCCGTGTTCCCCGACTGTCGTTACGCAGATGCGGGCCACCATAAAATGCGGCCATTGACAGGCGGATGGGGAGATGAGATATAGTGTGCTCTTGCCAACGAAATATGATTTAAGCCATAAATAAGCGCGGAAATTGTGCGTAAAATCGATGGAAGACAGTTTCCTTAAGTGGAAAGCCGATGTGCATAAGCGCGTAATCAAAATGCTTAGTATGGTCATCTGAAAGTTATGGGACAAACATGTGTCCTGGGGACGCCGGAAAGTTTATGCATTAAATTTAGTTTAGGCAAGGGTTCTTAAACTCCGAAAAAGGGAGTCTTATAAGGCAAAGGGAAGTACAAAAAGTACAAAAAGGACATCTTTATTTTCTGTCAATCTGAATTCACCGATGACACTACTAGGATTTGTTAAAGACCAACACGAAGACATCATAAGTAGCCCCACCAGAAGTAAAGCCACTTCCTCCTGCCGCTGCACTTCCATTTCCAGTTCATTTCCGAAGGCCAAAGGGCTGAAATCCTCTGGCAGCTTTGGGGAGCCATAAGATAAGTGACCTTATCCAACTCCCAGGTGGGCTTTATAGCCGGAGGGGGGGAGATTGGGGGGACGGACTGCTCCGTTTTGTGGTTGGAAGGACCAAAATGGCCATCTGCAACATTCATCGGTCGGTTTGTCCCTTGGACCTAATCATCATCTTCACTTCCCTCTCTCGTCGGTGGGAGCACTAGATGCCGAAGCGGATGCGGATGCGGTTGCGGATGCGGAGGAGGCCATGCGTAACTGCTGCTGGCGGCGCCGGCGCCGGAAGTACTGGCGCGACACCACCTGAACCGAGTCCAGGAACCGATCCATGCAGTTGGACAGGCAGTCGCGCTCCGAGGAGCGCAGCTCCAGGCCCGGCAGCACGATGCACGCGTTGAAGCACCGATGCGTCATCTTCTGAATCAGCTCCTGGATGTTGGCCAGCACGATCTGCTGGCGGATTTGCTCGAGGTCGTGGTGATTGGGGGCCATTGGTCTGCTGGCGAGCGATTCGGGGACTCGGCCTCGGGGCTGGACTAACGGATTGTCGGATTCACAGTTGTGAGCTAGGATCACCTTTTAATTTGGACACGGGCCTGACAAGAATGAACTGGCCTGCCCCCCAACCCATCGACCACACTTACCCTGTGCAAACTGGATCAGCTTGCAGAGCAGCTCGCCGAAGATGAAGTGGCGCAGCAGGGTGCCCACCAGGGTCACCGGCATGCAGAACACGCCGAGCAGGATGTCCGAGATGGCCAGGTTGAGCAGGAAAACGTTGGTTATGGTGCGCATGCGACGGTTCTGGACCAGGGTGAGCACCACCAGCAGATTTCCGACGACGGCGCACAGGAGGATGGCCGAGTAGCAGGGCACCACCCAGATGGGCACGTCGGCGCTCACGCGTGCCACACTCCTGTTCCCCGCCGTTGACTTGACGGCGCCGTTGGGCGCCACAGTGCTGGTCCCTCCCAGATCCAGACCACCACCCATTCCCAGACCCAAGTCCAGTTCCAGGCCGGTGTAGTTGAAGAGATCGACGGAGGGGCTGCTTAGGGTCACCCCGGCGTCACTCGGGATCGGGATCGGGAGCGGGATGGGGATCTCGTGGCTGGCATTCAGGCGGATCACTGCCTCCTTGGCCAGCGGCAGCGCCTGGCGCAGGAAGCGGTAGAGGGCGTCAATCGTGAGGCCGAAGGGGCTCCAATCGGATCCCTCGAATCACACCCGCACTCGCGGCACTTCGTCGACGTCACGCAAAAAAAAAACTTTGGGGCAGGCTGTGTGTGTGTGGGTGTCGCAACGGTATGGAGTTCGCGTTCCGCGTCGTGTGTCGCGCCTCGCAATCTTCGCGAAGCACTGACGGCAATCGTCGGCGACTTTTGTGGCCACCAGCCGGCGCCAAGCGACCGCAACATGCTGCCGAAGGAGGCGGTCCACAATTCACCACAGCCTCGGTGGCAACATGTTGCCAACGGACTTGTTGATATTCCACTACTTTAATTGGAATCATGTTTGGTTATTTTTTTAGGAAAGTCCCGATCGAAGCTTAGCTAAGCTAATATAATTCATCATTCTCATGAAACGAACTTAACTCTGGTGAAACAAAAGATATCCTGAATTGTCTCACAAAAGGGGAGTTTAATTATGGCAAATTACCATTTTTCAAAGCACCGTGACCATTTTTATCATTACCAAGAAGTAATTGATTGGCCATGGAAGAGCGGAGGAAAACAGGGACAAAGCCTGAAGATTGATGTGCTGTGACAAGGCAGGATTTTTATTACTGTCTTAACGCAAATAATTAAACAAAAATTGTTCAATTATTTCTTTATCAAAAGTTTATGTGCTCTCTCCAACATTTATACCCATTTAAATTAAGTCCACCGATGTTAAATTACAACAAAAGTAGTGAGATTATGCAGGATCGTTCTGATGTTGGGATATGAAATACAAATGATTAAGCAAAGATAATTGAGATCAAGAAGACTTTATAAATTTCTCATTCACTACGTCACCGATCAGCAGATTAATCTCTTCCGCAAAGGTTTAAATTGTACGGTTTTTACTACCAACCAAAGATGCCCAACAATTTTTTCACCCAAGTGAACTTCGCAAATGTACAAATTTAGCATACATTCCGGGGCAAACGAGATGATTGAGCCCCACAATGTTTAGCATCAGTGGGAGTATCAGTCGCTGTCTGAATTATTTGCATGTCTCCCCGGGGAAATGCGGAATCAGAAACGACAAGGAAAGGCCACATTTGTCAACTTAATTAGCGCACCTCCGGCAAATCGGCAATTCGGCACCGCCTGCCACCTGCTTACACCTTTGGCTCATTACTTTAAGGCACTGCCGCCGTTTGTTTGCTCTGCGACCCGAGTTTATAAATCACTGCGCCACTGGAGGAGCCATAAAGTGGGATCCGGACCCGAGTGGTTTTTGGCGGCCAAGGAACTTTGGTGGAGTCCACCCTTTGCGGTGTCAACAGGTTGCAAGTTGCAAACTTTATTTCGGCACTCGCTACTCATCTCAAGCGGGTAATCGACTTTGGGGGACTAAATTAAGTGCAGACGCATTCTTTGGGCAAGTGAGCACTCCGAAAGTTTCCACGAAGTCACTTCAACTGGGAATCCTTCGGCGGACCGCATTCCCAAGGACCTCCTCCTTAAGTGATCGTTGCCCAAATTGGGTCGAACGGTTGCCTAAATTGATTAATTCCATTTGACTCTTGAGGGAGCCGCGTGAAAGACAAAGTTTGCCGGGCAAATAAATAATGCTGCAACATTAATTAGGGGACCGAAAATGGGGAATGCTGTTTGCGGACTCTGCAAGACTTTAGCACTCCATTTATTTATTTACTTTGAGCTTTAATTAATTTTAATTATTGTATTTGCATTTGTGTTGGTTCAGTTGTTTTTAAACTTTTGTGGCCCAGCCGTTAATGCAATTCAGGCATCCGAAAATTACATTTACCATCGCTAATGGCCAGATTGGGATTCAGAAACAGATACGGTTACGGATACGGATACGGATTTCGGTAAAGCCACTGATTCGACAAGAAACAGGAGCAACAGTTGTACACCGTGAATTCATAATGAGCACGACAGCGAATGCGTCTGAATAATGAATTAATCGCCCATTTCAGTTGCTTGTTTCCGCGAGCCAAAGCCATTAATTACCAAGGACTTTCGCCAGGGGCTCCACTTGGCCACCCAGTCATCCACCCACTCCGACACTCCGGGATATTGGCCTGTCTTAAGTTTCGTTGTAGTATTTTGAGGACAAGCCTGAAATAAGCGCGGCACGCGGAGTTTGCCCTTTGTAAATTGATTTTTCGCCGGAATAAAAGTTTATGCCGTGCGTCAGGGCAAAGCTGAATGTTCCGTCCAATTGACAGCATCCACAAGCCCATAAAGTTGGCAGGTCAGTGAGGAAAATAGCAAGGGAAAAGTGCTCTAAACTAGTTCAAGTTACGTGAAAACTGACTTTCGGAAATAAATACAGAGAAAATTATATTTTTCAAACAAATGGATGATAATAAAACTTATTGTGTATAGTTTCTTTAAGTTGAAATCTTGAACCAAAAAGATTTGAAGTTCGCTTTGAAGCCCTTACAGAGTTTCTGCTACCTAAAAATTGACTTTTAAAAGTAAATCCAATGAAAATTATATTTCCTAAAACTAATCATTACCATAAATACGTATTCCTAAAAGGGTTTCACTATTTAACACCCCTTTTACTCAATCAATTTAAAGTGTAAGCATTTAACAATTGAATAGAAAAGGTGTTGAATAATTCGCGGCTTTGATTAAAACGCCCTCCATAAAGTTCGCAGGTCAATGGGGTCAATAAAGGGAATGGCAACTGAGAATTGCTCGAAATGAGTTCCAAAGGCACGCGGCCATAATTAGACTCCAGTCGGCATTAAAGATGACCCAGCAGGCCCGCAGCCCCGAGGAATATCCCACGGATAAGGGACAGGATCACTGGGCCAGTGGTCGGTGGTCGGGAGGTCCTTGGGCAGGGAATGAGCATCGCATCCCGGGATTGAAGTGCGGCCGTTGAGCTCTGTTTTGTCCCAGCTGGGGGGCGTGACAGCTGCGCCCCTTCTGCTTATGCTCAGCATCACAATCAGCATTACGAGCCGGACACACAACACACAGGTCCTGGCAGGCGGCTTAGGGACACGCACTCGGACAGGAGGTCAGGGGACCAGGGGGATAGGTGGACAGGGGGACAGGGGGGAGCGGGATAATTATGGCGAATGCTTCGGAATTTCCACAGAGCTCACACAAATGGATATTAAATTTGTGCTGGCTGGGCTAATGGAGTGCGCATCTGGGCGAAAGGTCCTCGAAAAGGTTTAGAGGTGTTTAAAGCACTACTCCACAGCCACGTTAATGATATGGCGTTTTCATTTCGCTCTCTGAATAAATATCATTAAGCAGTTAATTTTATATATTTACGCAGGGAAGCAATTAGCCATCTCGAAGGAATTACGGGATTCATGTGAAGCCTTCGACAGACAAAAAACAGCGGCTTTAACCAACTGGCGGCGGTCCTTTTTCACTCCTCCGTTTCCCCGCCCCTTTTTTTTTTGCCGACTTTTGGTTTATTGACTTGGGCCAAAACCCTTTTCGGCTTTCGCTTAAAATTCCTTCTTAACGCCGAAAACTTTTATTTAACTTGGCCCATTGTTGCCGTTGTTCTTGCTGCCATATTTCTGCGTGCCCTTTGTTGCTCTAAGCTCGAATTACGCTGAAATGAGCAATCTCAGAGCTTATTCGCAGCTTCCAGGGCGATAGCACCAAATACATAAATCGAGTCGAGCTCCGCAGAAAAAAACAAAGGCGAGCGACCCAGCTGAAAGGCAATCTGCCATTCGCTCGAGGAAAGGAAACCACTTACTTAGCCAGTTAATTAGCTGAGATGCCCGGGCGATTGATTGAAACACAGTGGCCCGGGGGAACGTCTACGAATGTTTCTTTACAGCATTCCTATGCAAATAACAGCAGGACATCGTGGAGTTCAAGAGCGAGCAGAACCCCCAAAAACAATGATTGGGGGTCCGCTTAATAATTCAAAGCATCTGGTAAACGACTGCCAGCCATATCGAATCGAGTGGAATGGAACGCCAATAGATATTAATTGAGCAATCAGGATGCCCCAGGTTGCCCAGACGCTTAGCCGTACTGTCAATCAGGACTCGTGCTTCCCAGGAAATATAAATTGGCCCCGCTCAGCAAGTGGTCCTGTCCAGTGCCCAATACCCAGTGCCCAATGCCGAAACAAGAACCCTCTTCGCCGCACTTTTCTATAAATAAGGACAGCCTGTTGGCAAAATGTATTAATACCTGCGACATGGCTGCCATTTGTAAACTGTTTTCCTTTTCTCAGGATTTATTTTTGGCCGGCAAAGGTAAATGTTGGTCCAATCCCCGTCCCCGTTCCCAGTCCTTTATTACTTTTGTTTCAGGCTCTGTTTTTCCCATCGCTATATGGTGTTTACTGTTTTGCCAGCTTTTTGCGGTGGAATGATTAATATTTGTGCACGCCCTCCGAAATCAGGCGGGAGCCATTCTATTTCAGATTCCAATTCCAGCGTTCAGCCTTCAACATCCAGGCATCGAATTTGGTACTTGTGCAGCCAGTTGGTCCTTTTTTTTTTTTGGACAGATCTGTCCTTTTTTAAATGGATTTAGCCAAAACAAATTGCTGAGCGTCGCATGTCCGCAAGGGCTGTAAGAAATTTCTTTGTTTTTCATTGCTGTAAGACCTCAGTTGATTTTTTGGTATTTAATAACTTAAAGGTTGCGTTGAGAAAGGTCATTAATATATATTTGATTATAAATATATTGCGAACTTTTAACTTAATTGCCATTTGAGCACCTTTCACCTTTGTACATTAAACCAAATTGAATGTGAAATTGAATGACAGCTCATATGAAAAATCATAAATAAATAAAATTAAATTCGAATTCCGAAAAGTAACTAACATTCAAACAAAATCTTATGATTGCTTTGACCAAAATTATCAGCACAGTCAGCTGTCAAATTGGTAACTTTGTAAAAATTGGTTCAAAAAGGACATGTCGAATAAAAAATATTTATTTTAATTAATTTACAAAAATTAAACATTCTATATTTCGATTTTAATGCTTTAAACCAATTAAGCGAGGTCGATTTTCCGATACATTTTTCAATCGTTCCTATGGCAACTTTATGATATAGTTGCCCGATTTTAATAAAAGTATAACCGTAATGCTGATCAAGAATATATATGTATACTTTATATGGTGGGAAATGTACGCATTGCGTTGCAAACTTTGGTTTGAAATTATAATAACTCATCAATGGTAAAAAAAATATGTAATTCTAAAATGTTATCACAACTGAATTTCTAATTATTTTTGATTCTTAAAAGAAGTTAGACTGTCTTAGACCAAAACGTTGGGAGGAATAACTTTATTTTTAAACTTTATAAAGACTGAATTAACAAAAATGATG